AGCTGCAGGTTCCAGGGAAAGATTCATAGCTAAGGCTCAAGGAACAGTGAAGGATTCCCTAAGGCTTTGCTGAGGTTATTATCTATTATCAAGGCTGACCATGACATTTGATTAAGTAGGAGGTTTGTTTTTCACTGAAGTCTCAAGTGCTCAGGAAGAAGAAATGTTTGCATTTCAAGTGCTAGGGACTGGCCCAGAGCTGTGCTTTCTCAGCCAAGGTTTAGGCTCTGTCGGTGGGCGTCCCACTGCTCCGTGTGACCCAGGAGAGGCTCCTCCCTGCCCAGAGTGAGTGCTTGCCCTCACAGAAGATGTATAAACAGGGCTTTGACTTAGCACCTTGTCTTCTTTCCAATGGCAGTCATAAATTATGCATCCCATTTTCTGACACCTAACTTTGCAGGAGTGCAACTTTTAGAGGAAAGTTGCAAGTATGCAAAAAGGAAATGATATTGTGAAAAAGAATAGTGAAATGACCATAATAATAGACATTTAAATACTACTGAAAAATATTTATGCCTGCATTACTCTTTTACCATTGCAACATACTTTCATGGGTATATATGCATATTGTGAAGTGTAGTTCACAATGCAGACACATGAAACAAAAAGTTCTCTTGTGAATCAGAAGACACTTGGGGATCTTGCAATGTCCCAGGAGGATTGTCAAAAGCTTGTGTTTTCAAAGCATTTGAATAAGTATATCTAGGACACCTTCAGAAATCAGAGTATTTTGTAAAATTAGAGAATTGACCCTAAGAAATGAAATGACATACATCCCACTTTGGTAATATTTCCACCTAAATCAATACACATTTGTCAGTCTTGTAAAATCTGAAACACAAAGAGTAATAGATGCTGGCAAGGAAATGGAAAGGGGAGCACTTATACATTGTTGCTAGGAATGTAAATTGGTGCACCAACGTATAGAAAACTAGAAGTAGCATTTCCCTAGGAGCCAGCAATCGCACTACTGGGTAGACACAAGGAAGACATGAGCATGTTGTATCAAAAAGATACCTATGCCACGTTGTTTACTGCAGCACTGTTCAGGATCACCACGATCTGGAATCACCCAAAGTGTCCACCATCAGATGAACGGATGCAGGAAATGTGGCATATGTATGTAATGAAATACTCTTCAGCTATAAAAAAAATGAAAACCTACCATCTGCAGCAAAATGGATGCAATTGGAGGACATCATGTTGAATGAAACAAGCTGGAAGCAGAAAGGCAGTTGCTTTGTATTCTTTATATGGGTGAATTAACATTTAAAAAAGAAAAGAAAAAAATGCCTGTGTGTATCATTATTGCTACAAATTAAGTTCTGTGAAACTTTCTTTTATACCTTTGTTAAGCCAGTGGTTAAGAATGGACTGTGATTGCTTTAACATTGACTGTCTGTGGATGACATGGTCGTCTTCTCATTCAATTGTTGTCTATAGCGATGGTCTCTATTCCCTCTAAACTAGGATTATTTTACTTTTTGCTTGTTAAATTTCTTATTTGGTGAAGTTTTGAGCCTTTCTACTATAATGTAAATTTAAAATGTTATCTCAAAAACTAAAAAAGAAAGAAAGGGTGGGAGGGAATATCATAATAGTCTTAGAATTATAGCTATGAATTATATTAAAGCTGTTAAAAGCTAAAAATTAACATGAAAAAATTTTGTTTTCTAGTCAAGCCTGAAAAAAAAATCTGTCAGTCTAGGTTAAATCACAAATTGTCACCTACCTCTGATCAGTAGCGTCACTGAAGTCAGGTGTACCACTTCAAAAACCCCATTCTCACTCTTCTGAACAACACAGGTGTAGGTGCCCTTGTCCGACAGGCGTAGTGCTAGGATCATGAGGGACAGGTTGTTGATGATGTCAGGGAAGGTCCGGTTCTTGTACTCAGGCCACACTGTTACTTGCTCAGAGATGATGCTCAGTACCATCTGTTGGTCCTTTTGCCAGTAAATCCTCATATTCACCAGTTCACTAACAGAAATGTTATAATCACAGGATAGTGCTGCCATCTCTTTCACTGACTTGGTCACTTGGCTAATACCTAAGAAGAGGGAAACAGAACTGGATTATTTATTTATTAAATATGAAACCCTTCACAAGCAGGAACCCAGTGTTGGCACCAACATAATTTTGAGTGCTTGGTTTTGTTTGTTAAGATTTCCTTTATATTTATTTGAAAAGCAGAGTTAGAGAGGGATAGAGAAAGAGAGAAAGAGAGTCTTCCATCTGCTGGCTCACTCCCTGTATGGTTGCAATGACTGGGGTAGTGTGATGACTGAAGCCAGGAACTTCTTCCAGGTGACCCATTTTTTTATAGAAGGGGCCTGAGCATTTGGACCACCTTTCACTACTTTTCCAATCTGTTTGCATAGAGCTGGATTGGAAGTGGAGCAGTCAGTTCTCAAGGCATCTCAGGCAACAGCTTTACTCACACAATGGAGCTTCATTTGTGAGTTTGCGTTTGAGAACTGTCCTGCTCTCTGCACTTGACAAGTAACTTCAATATCAATACCAGTGGCACTCTTGTAGAGTGCCAAGAACTTGAATCACATGACACACTCAGTCCCAGCAAGGAAGGCCGGGCTCAGCCTTTTGTGATCGGTTCTCACTGTCAGCAATGTCCTTCTCCCCTTCCCCCTACCCCCACGCCCCATTGCAGATGCAGTGTCATATTTAGCACATTTCTGGACTTCTGTAGTTGCTTCTGGTGTGTGTAATGGACTGGCACAAGATGCTGCAGCGCCTTCTGGCTTAAGTCCCAGTAGGCTGTGCTACACCTGGTGGAGGAATGGCAGGTTGGGTCAGCCTCCTTCAGGCTGGAGTTGCAGTGCTGTAGAGAGCAGGTTCACTGGTCCTGAAGTAATCAACTGTACTGAGCTGTGGGACTACCAGCCGAAACACATGGGAAACCAAGTCGCACACTCGCCAGCTCTCTAGAGTTTGTAATGAGAAGCTCATGGGGAAATGGGGAGGTGGAGGAGAGCAGTGGTGTGTCTCTCTCCCAGGGAAAAAAAGTTCAGGATTCACTAATTCTGTCACCGTGGCAACCTTTCAGGGCAGAACTACCTCAAATCACCAATCCAACAGACTTGTATTTATTTTAAAAATACTCTTTTTGGCCAAAGGAGCATTCCTTTTGGGGATAACTAGCACCCCATTTATTTTATTTACTTGAAAGAGAGAGAAAGAACGAAATCTTGCATCCACTGGTTCAGTCCCCCAAATTGCCACGACTGTCGAGCTTGGGCCAGGATGAAGTTAGGAGCCTAGAGGGCTGTTTGGATCTCCCATATGGATGCAGGGACCAAAGCACAGGGGCATCTGCTGCTGCTGCTTGCCCAGGTGCATTAGCAGGGACCTGGACTGCAAGTGCAATAGCTCATTGAGGACAGCAGTGTCAAAGGCAGCAGCTTCCTGTCAGTGTGCCTCTTTGGAGGCAGCCGGTAATGGCTCAATAATAGGGTCCTTGTCACCTAAGAGCTAGCCAAGACCGAGGCTCTTGGTTTCAGCCTGGCCCAGCCCCCGCAATTGCAGGAAGGAGCCACCAGTTGAGAGTTCGTTCACACTCTCTAAAATTAAGTAGACTTTTAAAATAAATCAAACACAAAACTGCTTTTAACCATGGCAGAGTTAAAGGAGAGATTTTGTACAGATTAAATGAGCTAAACACATTGCCCCATGTGACTCTGCTAATCCAGGTGCAGGAATAAAGTCTTCCTCTTTTATCTGATTCATCCTCTTCTTGCTTGACTTAGAATTTGAGCTTCTCAAGACTGGAGAAGAGTTCAAGGGTAACCACAAGGGTCCTCTGCCAATAGCTCTGCCCACTGGGCCCTGGACATGTTGATGTGGAAAAAACATGGGTTTTGTGGTGTTCAGTAACCTTCCCCCAGTTGCTGTGTGACCCTAGGCAGTTTGCTTAATTTCTGTGAACCCCACTCATCTGATCCGTTATTATGAGAAGTAAAGGATGTGAGTTATGGCAACCATACAATTTATTGCCAAGGCCCTCATCAAATATAAATTCTCTTTATCTCTGAGGGAGGGGAAATTTACTAACTTCTTAGGCTGTTTATTTCGTCTGTGGTTGGTTTGCCTTAGGAAACTTTGCTTTGAGTTGAAGTCTGTTTCCGTCTAGCTGCTCTCAGCCCTGTAAAACATTTCTTGTTCTTATTGCACAACAAGACCAATGGCAATCTGGGGATAGTGTGTCCTCTCTCTCATAACCCTCCTGTGGCTTCTTCCACCTGTACCCCTGTCCCTTATATGCTTATAGCCTGCACACCACACTGTGGTTGGTATACATTCCTGCGAGAGAACCAAGGCCACCAGCTATAACACCATAGTCCTCTACTGGGTGCTGAGCTTAGAGGAGAGGCTGACCTAAGTCTTGTGTGCACACAGATTAAAGTGCAAGGTAAAGCTTTAGCAGTCACCCTCCACCAATTAATTACAAGAACAACAAATAAATTACCATTTTTTTTTCCCTTCCCAGACATACCACGTAGTCCAACCCAACATCTCGCCAAATGAGGAAGCCCTTCCAGGGATGTTGCATACAAAGAATTTTCTGGAATCTTCACTCTCCCTACATCTCCATAGGATGGTCAACTTTGCCCTTCAGAAATATGGGGAAGCATTTGCTTGTGTCACTGTTGTAGATAGTCAGATACCAAGGACCAATGGTGGGATCCCACAGTGAGGGCAGAGCCCATGGATCCCATGAAAAGGCTGACTTTAACAAACGTAGATATAAGTGCCAACCTGGGTAACCCAGGGCAACCAGCCCAGGGTATGTGGAGGTCACAGATAGGGAAATGGAGGCCTTGAAGGGGCTACTCTAGTCATTTGATTCATGGGCCTGTTTCAGAGATGTGAAGCTAAGCCAAGGAAGGAAACTACTCAACTTGTGCGAGGCTGCTGGGTTTGTTTGTTTGTTTGTTTGTCCAGGGTAAGTAAGCAGATGCTGCCCCTCTAGCCAGTGCCACCGGGAGCTTTGGCTTGGGTAGACAGGGACCTCCTGGCTTCAGGGTACAATGATTCCCTACATCTCTAATCGCTCAGCCAGGGTCACACCACTGGACAAGTCTATGCTCCTGAGCTAGTCTAAGTGGTTTCTGTGTTCTGTCTCTAAATCTCTTTGCCACCTGCAGACTGCACATAGCAGTTATCCTACAGCCTGCATTTGTTCAGAGAGATCAATTCTATCCAGCCTTCATCAGTGCATCCTAGAAGTACCAACACTGTAGAGCACAAACCCCACCACCTCACTAGCCTCTGACGCTCACACATCAATTGCATCCGAACTCCTTAGCGCACTCTACTTTCTACATTTGGTGTCTTAAGGCATGCTCCCTCTTCCTCTTTATGCAAGGCCTAAAAGCTGCATTTCTTTGAGGCACTCTACCTACTCCATCCTGCACTGTCAGGGTCTGTCCTCCTTGCCTCCTATCCCAGAGCCACAGCAGGCCTCCTGGGAAAGCACATGCTTGTGGGGGTGGAGTCCCTATTTCCAGGTCCTCTGGAATCTTAGGAAGCAAGCTTGCAGTGGCTCTCACCCTCTGCATCACACATCCTCGGGCCTCGGTTACCCTGGAGGAGGCTCTGCCACAGCCTATAGAAGTTGATTTGGGGGTGGTATTTCCACAGCAACATGACATCACTCAGAATGACCCCAAGTGCCCCTTTGGGGGACTGCACACAAAAACATTGTCAGTCCCTGCTACAGGGTGTTGGGGTGTATAGCTGAAAAGGGGGAAGGACTGAAAGGGCAGGTGAAACTACAACAGCTTGCAAATCAAGCTGCAATCTGGGTATTCTTGGGGAAACAGAGAAAGCAAAATGATGTGAGGAAGACATGCAAATGGTGCGTTCGCTTTGACTTGGATTCCAGTTCCTGCTCTGCTGATTACCCTATTTCCCCATCTGTGAAGTGGGTATGATGCCCCCTTAGGGCCATTGGAAGATCCCATTCAAATTCAAATGATATTAAGAACAAAGCCCAGGTTTACTCTTAATAAAAACAATAATTTAAAAAAAAAAGCAGACAAGAGTGACTTTCATATTTTGGCTGGCAGCCTTGGCAGGCAGGGTGGATGGGTGTGGCGAGACAGTCAGAGGCTGTCAGGGCTCTTGACACCTGAGACCCTGAAGTCACACAGTGGCCAGGATTCCAGGGCAGCTCCTCGCTCTTAGGCCTGGAAGCCTCATCTCTCCAGGGCTCAGGACTTGTTTTTTCTTACCTTCCAGCATCAGTTAAACTCAGCAACATTCTATGAAAGTTGATCTTCCCAGACTGAGTGCGGTAGCCTAGCGGCTAAAGTCCTTGCCTTGCATGCACCAGGATACCATATGGGTGCCAGTTCTAATCCCGGTGGCCCCGCTTCCCATCCAGCTCCCTGCTTGTGGCCTGGGAAAACAGTTGAGGACGTCCGAAAGCCTTGGGACCCTGCACCTGTGTGTGAGAACTAGAAGAGGCTCTGGGCTCCTTCCTGGCTTTGTACTGGTGCAGCTCCAGTGGCCGCTTGAGGAGTGAATCAATGGATGGAAGATCTTCCTCTCTATCTCTCCTCCTCTCTATATATCTGACTTTCTAATAAAAATAAACTCTTAAAAGAGAGGTATAAAAAAAGTGTGAAGAGTTTCCATTTCTCTCTGCCTCTGTATTTCCCCAGCTCTTACCTTCTGGATTCTCTATCTCACTGGGGGGTCATGTCATTTGTATGGGACTCTGGTGTTGCTGGCCCAGAGAGACGCCAAGGCAGAGAGAAGCTCACTCTTCCTGGGCCCCCCAAGGAAGCAGGTCTTTCCCTGCAAACTGTTCCCACCCAAAAAAGAATCTAATATTTCGAACTCGCTCTGACATGTCGTGAATGAGCACAAAAGAAACCACAACTGAAAATGGAGCAATACCATTTCAGTGATGGTTCCTAAGGACTTTCTGGTCAGCTGTCTGGGGAGCAGCGTGGGTGGTCTGCTAAAGGTCATGGTGCACACTCCATGAGCGGCTTGCTTGTCCCATCTGAGGTCCCCATACAAGAC